ATGAACTAACCCAATCACAAAAAATGCGGGCCCAAAGGAGAAGATTACAAGCGCGCCTGGAAGATGAAGGCATTCTTGCATCTCAAGGTAAACTACCAGCAAATGAACAATCAGTAAAGCCTCAAGAAGAGCAGTTTTTGGACCAGAAACGAAAGCCGCGTGTAGAGGTTTAGCAGGCCGGTAAGCAGATTGAGAAAACCCAAAGGCTGCGGGCGCAGGACAAGGTGGCCCAAAAGGAATGAGAGCTGCAACCTTGCTTGATCTTTACCATGAAGATTAAAGAGCTGTATCCAAAGTGGTAGTGCCACTGGGTACCGAAAGTAATGCAACCAAAGGAACCCGAGTCTGGTGCAGGAGACCTGACGGTGGTCGGTTTATTTCCACCAAAATTCAAAACTTCTGAAGGGGAGCAGGAATTGTGAAAAGGTGATGGTAGACGAATAGCCAATCATCGAGTGGAATGATGTGGTGATAATGATGGAGTTTGCGCTACTCGGAGCCAGGCAGAATAAGCACGTGAAGCCATTGCACATTTGAGCTTTAATGGATGAATGGCCGGTTAGCAGAGTGCTAGTGGATGGCGGAGCATTTTCTAATGTAATGTCAATCCAGACATTAAGGAAGTTGGGGAAAACAAGAGATGACATGATCCCCACATTGGTGTGAGCTACGGATTTTATGGGAAATTCGTATAACCCAGCAGGGATTGCTACCGTAGAGATACAAGTCAACACCAAAAAGATACCATCAACATTTGTAATTATAGACAAATGGCCCTTCTATTTAGCGTTATTAGGGCGAGATTGGATTCACGCTTGTGAATGAGTTCCTTCAACCCTATACAAGAAGTTGAGGTATAGAATGACCCATTCACAGCAGAGGTAACTGTTGTGGATGCATCATTTTAGAATTCGGAGATGATTCCGCTGCCTAAGGTGATCGCTACCATCCCAAATAGAGACGATTACAAATGTGTGTTTACTGATAAACAAGTCAGAGTTCAAGCAAGGTCCAACCCACGGCCTATGAGTGAGGGAGACTATGATGATTTGAGACAATAATGAAACTCGCTCTGAGCCACTCAAAATAGCAGACTCCGGCAAAGACCTAGAGCCGCTATGGGAAACAAGCTCCAATAAAGGCTCAGAGCCACTCAGTGGAGCAAGCTCCAAAGGCCTGCTCGAGTTGCGTATGGCGGCAAACCTGGGGATACTCACAAGCCACCCCGGAGGACAAACTTCAGCAAGGGAGAACTACCATTGCCCATTCACAAGACATCTGGTTTTTCAGGCTCAAGACCCATTAGAAGACGTGAATTTAGGCATTGAAGAAGTTCCACGGATAACAAATATCAGCGCATTATTAGCCCTAGAGGCTCGAGATGCTTTGGTGAAGGTCATCAAGGAATACAAAGATTACTTCTCGTGGGATTACAATGAAATGTCAAGCTTGGCTAGAGAACTCATAGAAAATCATTTGCCCATCAAAGCTGGATACAAACCTCACAAGCAACCGCCACAGAGAACTCCGACGTATACCCAAATATAAAAGAGAAAATCGAGCGGCTGTTAGGAGTAGGCTTCATTAGAACATGTCGGTATCTTAAATAGGTGGCCAACGTAGCCCCTGTACTCAAGAAGAATAGCAAACTATGAGTATGTATAGATTACTAGAATCTAAGTTGGAAACCCCAAAAGATGAGTATGTCATGCTAGTTGCAGATACGCCAATAGATGCAGCCGCCATGAATAGAAGTATCTCATTTATGGATGGCTACTTTGGGCACAATTAGACTTTTATCGCAGAGGAGTGTGTCTCGAAAATAGCTTTTAGATGCTATGGGGCCCTTGGGGTCTACGAATGGGTGGTCATGCCCTTCGGGTTGAAAAATATAGAAGCCATGTACCAATGGCCAATGAACATCATATTTTATGACTTGATCGAGCAACAATTTTTTTTTATTATGACAAATTTATTATTTAAATTCGAAACACAAAATCAATAGGTACGTATGTACATGTAAGTAAGTATAACATGCACCTCTCGATCAATTTTTTAAAATTGTACAATTATATAGGTTTAACATTACTTTCTTACTGCACCAACATCATACTCGGAAGATCACTTTTTAGTAAGAATCATTCAATAGGCACATTCGACATACTTGGCATAAGTAGATGATGGCACGGAGAAATCTTAGGACAAGAGTTGGGCAACCGTGATCACTACAATTTTTTCTCTGAGCTTTTGAGTGACTGCAACTCGTACAGTCATCACGAGCTGTAGGACCAGAGATCCTTACTTTAACTATTGGCTCATCAATTTCTATAAGCTCCAATTCCCCTTTTTGCTACTTCAACAAGATGGGGCCTAATTTCTTCAAGCACCTTCTCAATGTTTTCTTTATTAACCTCCAGGTCAATCTCTTCATCAGATATAGACTCAACAACAACAACTCTAGGGATTTTTTTCCATCACACGATGCTCAATACCGAGTAGCAGACTGAAGTCTACATCGATGATATTGTAGTAAAGTCAAGGGAATTTTCAGAGCATCCAAAGGATTTCGAGTTAGGCCTTTTTTAGAGAAAGAGGCAAGATAACTTAAAAATAAACCCAACAAAATGCATGTTTGGAGTGGCTTTTGGGAACCTTTTAGGCTTTTTGGTTCACGCTAAACGGATCAATGTGGGTTGTAACAAGACAAAAGCTATCATAAATGCCAGGCCACCCAAGAACTTAAAGGAACTTTCAAGGGTTCCTTGAAAAAGTGAATTTCTTACGGCGTTTCATCTCAAATGTCGTAGGGAAGCTAAAAGCCTTTTCGACATTGTTAAGGTTGTAGAAGACAAATGAATTCTTATGAGAGCTGCTGCATCAACATGCTTTCGAAGCCATCAAAGAGGCTTTGGCCAGCCCGCTGGTGCTAGCGCCACCACAAATTGGAAAGCCACTACGGTTGTATGTACTAGGCATGGAGAACACAATAGACTGCTTGCTTGCACAAGAAACTTTGGATAAGAGCAAGAGAGTTGTGTTCTACTTGAGCAAGATAATGAACAATGCAAAGACTATGAAAAATTATGTATTGCTCTGTTTTATGCATTTACAGAATTAGAATATTATTTGGCCCTTATGGAAATGTAAGTGATTTTTCATGTTGATATTTTGAATATTTGTTGAATCGGTCAGTCTTGAGATGGAGGCAAGCTAAGTGGGCGGTAACACTGTTTGCTTTTCATTTATGATATGTGCCGATTAACGCTATCAAGGGACATGTGTTACCTGGCTTCTTGGCAGACCACCCGAGCCTAGTCATAAAACAGCTCCCAGGAATGTCAAAAACCATTATCGGTTCCTTATTGTGAACGCTAAATTTTGATGGGTCCAGTACAGCAACAAGGGCAGGAGACAAAATGGTCATCAAAAGCCCGTTGAGAAAGAAATGGGTGTTTGGCAAGTCGTTAGCAGCCAGACTCACATATAATCAAACAGAATGTAAGGCCTAGCTAGCGAGCCCGAGAGCTCTCTACCATTAAAGAGCTAGTGTAATCAGAGTCCAAGGGGATTCACAACTGATATTAAAGCAAGTGGTGGACGAATTTCAACGCAAAGACAAAATTTTATAAAGCCTTCAAATGGAAGCAACTAGAATATTAAGGGAATTTGACAATGCGTTAGTAGAGTTCATTCCTGGAGGTGAAAATTCTGAGGCCAATGACTTAGGTCAAAGAACTTTTGGATATAAACCATTGGCATGGAAAGAGATTGAGTCGGAACGGGTTTGTTTGTATCCAGTGGAAGTAGACAATTGCCAAACATAGCTCATAATATATTTAGAACAACCCTCTAGCGATGCACCCGAGAAGTTACGCGACCAGGCTTTGAAATACATTTTGATGGATGGGAATTTATATAGACTAGCTACCAACGGGATATTGTTATGGTGCATTAGTCTCTAAGAAGCCATGAAGGTTATGGGCAAGGTGCATAAGGGGATTTGCTGAGCGCACAAATTCGGTTTGGTTATGAGATAGACCATCTTGCGGTACGACTATTATTGGCCGTCAATGACCGAAGACTACGTTAAGTATGCTCAAGAATGCAAAATCTGTCAACGGTATGGACCTTTGATCCGAGTCCAGAGCTACATGAGGTAGTGAAGTGGGCAGTTTCGGGGATAGGTTACGGACATCATAGGCAAGATTTATCTACCATCCTCCAAGAGGCATTTGTTTATATTGGAAGCTACCGATTATTTTATAAAATAGATCAAAGTCGTACCTCTAGCCAATGTAATGTACCAGAAAGTAATAAAATTTATCAATGAGCATATTATTTATCGATTTAAGATTCCCCAAATGATCACAACTGATCAAGGCATGGTATTCACGGGTGATAGAGTGGCTGCCTTTGCCGTCAAGTATGAGATCATTTTATTGCATTCGTCCCCGTATTATGCACAGACCAATGGGCAGGCCAAAATAGCCAATAAGGTGTTGATAAAAATCATCAGAACAGCCATCGAAGACAACCCAAGGAAATAGCATGAAGCGTAGGGAAATCTTTATGGGTCTGTAGGCATTATAAAAATGGAGCCCCTAGGTATCTTCGTCCTCAAAGTTTGCAACCCCAGAATCATGGCTAATCAATACATACCTGCACTTCCTTTCGATGGATCAGCCCCTGAAACAGCTTTTGTTGCGATGAAAATGCTCACTCTGACCATTCGCCCCTACTGCACTACCCCTGAAGACTCCAATCGAATGAGAGAGGTCTTGGAGGCAAGAAATCTACTGGCTATTAACAATCCCAACTACAACGCTACTCGTCTTCATGATAACATCAAAACTCATCTGACGGACCCCAAAGATCCCTACCGCACCTGGTACCAAAGGGTAGCAGAACATTTCCAGGATCAATGGAAAACTCAACAGATCGACTAGGCCATACGTCTGTCTACACTCCCATGCCATTTACATGAGAAAGTTCTTCTAGCAATGGCGGCGTTTTGGCACCCTGAGATTTGCGCCTTCCTTCTTCCAACAGCCCCCATCGGCCCCACCCTCATGGATGTGGCCATGATCGTTCATCTTCCAATCGTAGGGGAAGACCCTATAATGGGTACCCTAGACGGACAAGAGCCCAGAGCAGACCATCCAGGTTGGCCCCTGGCTAACATTAAGGAATGGGGCTGGACCAAATTTTTAAATGATCAACAATGAGCAAACGGTACCCCTATCACCGACCGCGAGCATACTGCCTTCCTGCTCTTTTGGCTTTGTAAGTATGTCATCATTTCTCCTTCGAAGTGTGTCCTTCCTACTCATCTTGATTTGGCCATAAATATAGCCTCTAGCCGTTTCTTTTCTCTAGGTACTCTTTTCCTTGCCAATCTTTTTGAAGGCTTATCCAGGGTTAGCACCCGCCTTACAGAAACAGACGGTAAAAAATTAGACACTGCTGCGTCGGGTCCTTTTTGGTTCCTGGAACTATGGTTCCGTCTCTATTTTCCCGATGTTTTCCAACTCGGTCATCCGCCTATTGCCCCCACATCTGAGAAGTCTCTAGGAATAGCCCTTAACCGACTTTGCTTAGGTCGCAACAACCTCCAAGCGTCCGACCCTATCATAATTGCCATCCTTGCCGATAATCGTAATAACACCCATTTCTACATACATAGAAGGTATATTGGTTATGCATCCGGCCTGTTTTGGCCATTCCTTGTATCCTCACCTTTATCTGAGCCAGACCCACTTCCACATCCCACTTACTCCTCTTCCTGGGATGCTGCTCTTAAAGCATTTTATACCGTCAACTATCAGCCTCAATTTTTGGCACGCCAATTCGGCTGCCAACAAGGCTTGCCTGGTCCTATTGCCCATCCTCATTTAGTAATTCAGAGTCCATATGGGAAAGTCATTCCTGATTTGATTGACCCATACATATCCCAGCTCACCAATTACATAACTTCCAACTCCTATATCCCTTTCAAAACTTCTCCAGCTTCAATTGAAACCTTTCGCGAATGGTGGTTGGTCATTTGGGCCTTAATCACTCTTGACAAAGATCGCCTGTTGGGCATTCTTCTGCCCCAGCTTGCAGTGGTGTTGGGGGCGACCCCATTGACCAATACCCGAAGGAAATTAATCGTCCAGGGCACCGGATCGGGCACTCCGCAGAGGAAAAAAAAAGCTCTTCAGACTCAAGTTGTTCCCCTCTCTGGAGGCCATCAACCGACCTTGACAGACTGCCCATCAGGTCGGGCACCTGTAAAGACCCGACCTCGTCCAGGTATTTTTCCAATAACCTTGATTCAAAACAACTTCAGTACTTAACATTTTATTAACCATCATTCTGATATACAGGTCCGACTTCGGCCAGAGCGTCCGCCCAAACTATTCCAATTCCAAATAAATCAATAAAGCCACCAACCGACCAACTCCACGAACTGGAACCCCCGACCAAACGATGGACCCCAGTGAGAGCATCTTCACCGGCCGAACCAGCAACAACAAGGGTCTCATCCCGCAGTGAGGCGACTGCTTCAGAGATGGGTAGATTACCTTATGTCGCTTCAGACCCATCTCTGCCTAATATGGCGCCCATAGCGACGCTTGCATCCACTTCTACTGTGATTGCCTCTGATGTGGTCGCTTCTAAATACAAAGATATCTCTGATGCGGCCCTTCAAATCGATCCTGACGAACCAGCCGCGGCCGCCCCAGACGCACCCGACCAAGGAGCAGCCAACGAGAGGGCAGCCATCTTGGGGGTAGCCGACCTGGGAGCAGACCTAGGGGTAGCCGACCTGGGAGCAGTGAACCCAAGGGCAGCAGACCCCCTTCCAGAAGCAGACAGACTGGAAGGAGAACCTGTACCTGCTCAACCAAGGGGACTCTTACAAGAATTACAAGAGATCCCCTCCTCTGATTCAAAGACCTCTGTTAATCTGGTAAATACTCGAGATTCCTTCTTCCAAACTACAAGCTAATATTAACATGATCTTTAACACACTATATCTCCATCATTCAGGGGCCCAGATCCATACCACAACGTCCACTTGAAGCAGCCGACGAGTCGGCCATCGTAGTACCAGCCGCCCAGCCTTCCAGACATATGGCTATTCTGGCACCTTCAGTGACCACCATTCGTCCAGAGGTAAGAACAATTTCCACAATCAATTCTTAATATTCATGCTCCATTCAGTCTGAAATAAACATCCTTTCCTCCAGGGATGTTCTGACCTAGCCCTCTTGTCGGCTGTCCCCATTCCGATGGATGTCCGAACTATAATTGCACGGGCTGTTGACCAACCTTTCCCCAACCTGGGACCAGACTTGCTTGACAGCCTTCTTCAAGCCATTGGTGGTCTTTTGTTTCAAATGTCTTCAGAGTCGGCTGCTACCTCCATTCTTCACCAACTGATGGAGCGACTATCCGAACTCCGGAATGAAGTTTTGTTCGCTCGTGTTCTGACCACTGAAACACCCTTGCCTGATTTGGATTGAATAAGTCTGGAGGCCTCCTTGACCAAAACCAAGGAATCCATTCAACAGGCAATTGGCCGACTAGAAGGCCTTAACAATGCCAAGGCACAAATAAAAGGATCAATCCAACAAAAAGAAACAGAACTGAGGGCGCTTCATCAAGAAAAGTCAGTCCTTGAAGGCCACATAAATGACGAGCAGTGCCTAATTGATCGATACCAAAACAATGCAACCGACCTGGACCAGGAGTTAAAGATTCATGCCCGAACCTAACTCATAAGGCAATATCAGTCGGCTGCCAATAACAGGCGACTTTCCAGAACATAAGACAAATGATCCCAGATTAAACTTGTTTTAGGATTTTTTTTGTAAACTTTTCGAAATTTTGACCTGGTAAATAAAATTTTATCCTATTGTTAAGGATCACTTTCCAAATTTCCAACCATCCAGGGAACCAATCAATTCATCTCCTTTATAAACACTTGCAGTCCATGCAAACCAGCAAACAAGCGTTTATCCATAAATAAAACCTTGAACACACCTGCTAACATATATTAAAATGCCACCCCACCGTCCTCATGTTCCTGTAAACAATTGGTAAGGTGTTATTCAACCCTTTTTTGTGGGTAATCATCCAGTTGGAGGTCATGCCGAAGACCTGCTATGCATCCTCAAGCAATTAGATTTCAAATTCAGATTTTCCCAACGAGGCAGAAAAACCATTCATCGCGTTATTCGCCTGATGGAAAAAGTGCTAGAAGGATATAAAACTCTTCGGGATATACAAAACCGCCTTCCCGACATCGATCATCACATGGATTTGATTGAACACCATGTGACAGCTATACTCCCAGACCTTGGCTGGGATCATACCTTCTCCAATCAACGCGTAGTCTTTTCAAGATTACGCACTCTTGTTGATCGTGAACGCCAAGCCGTGACATATATGAAAGCTCGGACCGACTATGATCTTGAGAAGATGCAAGATCAATTGGAGAAATACCGACCTAACTTAGAGGACCTTATTGATGAAAAACCAGAATTAATCCCTAATCACTGGAATGAAGATTCTCATTCAGAAGTAAGTAATTCTCTGCACGACTCAACATATGATAATGAATGAACCCTTGTTAGGTTCGAACCCTTGGCAAACGGGTTCTGAATAAAGTTACTGTTTCATGCTTTCTTGTTATCTGAAAAGGCAGGAAAATACCTCTTCAGATATTTAGCATTAATACAGTCGTGTACCCTTTTACCTTCTTGATTTATAATAATAAAGGCACCATTTCCGATCTCCTTTTGAATTATGAATGGTCTCTCCCAATTCGGAGACCACTTCCCTAATTGATCAACCTTCTTATATGTCGGAAGAATAGTCTTCCAGACCAAGTCTCCTTCTTTGAATGTTCTATAAAAGATTTTCTTTCCATAAGTCTTAGCCCTGATTTCATTCTGCTTCACAATCTGATCAATTGCATGAAGTCAGTTGACATCCAGACTTTCCAATTGTTGCAACATAATTTGTTGATATTCCTCAATAAATTCATCATTGGAAAAGCTTATGTGTCCAGATGAGACCTGCACTTCGGCTGGCAACACAACATCTTGTCCAAAGGTGAGTTGATATGGTGAAAACCCTGTGGCAGAACTTATGTTATTCTTATGTGCCCATAAGGCTCGAGATAACAACAAATGTCATTTCCTTGGATTCCCTTCAATCGTTTTCTTTATAATTCCAATAATAATCTTGTTACTTGCCTCTGCCTGCCCATTAACTTGGGGATAATAAGGCGAAGAATGATTCAGACGAATACCAAACTCTGCCAAGAAGCTTAAAAATTTCTCCCCAATAAATACCAGACCTTGGTCAGTTGTTACTAAATGAGGAATACCATACCTATATATGATCTAATTCAGCACAAAATCAATCACCTCCTTCTGATCCACATTTTTCAAAGCAACCGTCTCTACCCATTTGATGAAATAATCTGTTGCAACCAGAATAAAACAATGATTCTTGGAAGATGGAGGATGAATTTTACCAATGATATCCATAGCCCAAGATTTAAAAGGCCATGGTTTTACCATCGCTTGCAATTCTGTAACTGGTAAATGAATTAATTGCCCATGCCTCTGACATTCTTGGCAGCCCTTGGCAAATTGTATGCAATCTTCAAAAATCTTTGGCCAAAAGAAACCTAAACAATGGATAGCCCATCTCATATTCAGACCTGCCCGATGAGCTCCACAAATTCCACTGTGCACTTCTGTCATCACCTCCAAAGCCTGCTTAGGCCCCAAACATTTCAAGAGCAATCCTTCGAATGTTCTTTTATATAATACTCCTTCTACAAATTGGAATTGCAAAGCTTTCAGTCGAATTTCAATCGGTACATTTGCTCCTGGATCTTGTAAATACATGACAAGTTCTGTCCTCCAGTCGGTTCCTGTTTCTGTCTCAGGGCCGACCTCTGTGCATATATCTTTTAGGATTCCCTTGCAAGCTTTTTGAGTTAAATCATCTGCAAATTGATTCTCCTTTCTAGGGACGAACTCAATTATCACTTCGGAAATCTTTGATAGCAACCGACCTACCAAATCCCTGTACCTACGTAGGTGGGGATAATTACAAACATACTGCTTGTTTACCTGGTTAATCACCAATTGAGAATCCCCTTTTATAATAACCGACTGAACTTTTCTGGCTATCAAAAGCCTCCAATCCCAAGATTAAAGCCTCATACTCTGCTGAATTATGGGTCATGGCTTCCAATTACATCTGCAAATTGACTCTTTGACCGTCTGGTCCTTCCAACAAGACACTTGCACCCGATCTGTTTCTTGAGGTAGAACCATCAAAAAACATTAACCAATTTCGGGTGCTTATATAATATATACACCCAGTCGGTTGCTCCTCATGACCTTTAAAGTCTGCCAAAAAGTCTGCTATTCCTTAGCCTTTGACCGCCCTCGAAAGGGAATGATACAAACGAAATGCGTTAATTTAATGGCCCACTTCATGAGTCTGCCCTGTATCGTAGGTCTTTGTAAAATTAACTTGATAAGATCAATCTTTGAAATAACCTCAACTCTTCTGGGCAACATATAATGTTCAAGTTTGGTGCATGCAAACACCAATGAATAACACATCTTCTCTGGCATTGTATAATTTAATTCTGGTCATATGAGAGTCTTGCTCAAATAATAAATTGTCTTTTCCTTTCCATCATCTCCATCTTGAGCTAGTAAGTAACTGACCACTTCATAGGTATTTGCCAAATTAAGTTTGAGGGGCCGACCTTCCGTGGGAGGCATCAACACAGGTGGTTGAGCCAATGCTCGATTTATAGCCTCTAAAGCTGTCTGTTGGTCTGGTCCCCACTCAAAGGCGCTTCCTCCTGCCTTCAATAATTTAGTAATTGGTCTGACCTTGCCAGAAGCATTGGAAATGAACCGCCTGAGATAATTTACTTTCCCCAACAAACTTTGAATTTCCTTAACCGTCTGAGGTGGTCGGCTGGCAAGAATTGCCTTGGCTTTATTAGCATCGACCTCAATGCCCCTTTCATGAACCAAGAACCCCAAGAAACTCCCGGCTGATATACCGAAAGCACACTTAGTCAGGTTCATTTTCAATTTGTACTTCTTCATCCGACTGAAAGCATCTTTAAGATCCCTCAAATGTTCCTCAAAACTAGAAGATTTGACAATAACATCATCAATATATACTTCCATAGACTTACCAATGATATCATGAAAAATTGAGTTCATGGCTCTCTGATAAGTCGCCCCAGCATTCTTCAAACCAAAAGGCATAACTGTCCACTCATAAATACCTAATGCTCCTGGACATCTAAATGCCGTCTTGTGAATGTCTTCCTCTGCCAAAAAGATTTGGTTATATCCTGCATAACCATCCATCAAACTGAGAATTCTGTGCCCTGCTGCTGAGTCAATTAACATGTCGGCCATAGGCATCACATACTCATCTTTAGGAGTGGCCATATTAAGATCTCTAAAATCGATGCATATCCTGATCTTACCATTCTTTTTAACCACTGGTACAATATTGGCCAACCAATCAGCATAACGGCAAGGTCGGATGAAACCCACTTTAAGAAGCTTCTGAATCTCTTCTTTGATCTGAGGTATCAAGTCAGGACTCATACGTCTTGGAGATTGCTTACAAGGCTTGAAATCCTTCTTAATGGGCAATCGATGTTCTATCAGACTTCGCTCTAAACTAGGCATTTCTGAATAATCCCAAGCTAAACAATCAATATTGTTTCTTATAACCTCGAGCATCAATGTTTGTTGCTCTTCAGATAAATAACCACTCATCCTGATTATTTTTGGAACCAGGTCGGTTCCTAAGTTAAATTCCAGCAAAGGATCTTGTGCGAAAAAGCTGGCTCTGTTTTTTCTAACAAATCAGGCCAAAATAATTGTTCATCTTCTTGGAAATGAACATCACATCTTTTTATTTTTTCTACTTTTTTCAAAAGCTGGTCTAAATAATACTTATTAATAAGTACACTACAATCTTCTAAATCTGCACCTTCCATAAGAAATATATTATAAAAAGTAGGTCTGGCTTACTCAAAAGCCATATAATACAACTATTCTTTTAAAAGAACATTGAATTCTGGCCAATGAATTTAAAACCCTTCTTTGGGTAGTCATTAGCCATAAAAAACTGATACATTGGAGGTACATGACCAGAATAAAAAACTGATTCTTCAACTTTTTCTGATGCTCCAAAAAGATTGTCATTTGCTTCCATTTTGAAGACCTGATTGCCTTCCCAGAACATCAATTGTTGATGCAATGTTGATGGTACACATTTAGATGCATGAATCCAATCTCGTCCCAGCAGGATTGAATATGTGGTATCTGCATCCACCACGAAGAAAACAGAAGAAATCTTTTTTGGACCGACTTCAATTGAGGCGACCATCATGCCTTCTGGTTTGGTCGGCTGCCCTATAAAGCTAGTCATCTCAAAATCCACAGGAGATAGATCGTGAATTCCCTTTCCTAACTTCTTGAGAGTCTTTAATGGCATTACTTTGAAGACGGCCCCATTATCTATGAAAACCTTTGTGATTGGTTTCCCACAAATATGAGCATTAACGTACAGAGGCTTCAAATGAGACGCCATGCCTTCTGGAATGGGAAGGAAGACTATTGGAGGGACCTCTGATTAAAAATCAGGATCTGAAATCTTTGTCCATTCTGGCTCTTCTATAAACTCATCCACCAGACTTGCCCACAAAGGCTCTTCCTCGACCCAATTAAATTATGTCATTCGGCAGGGGAGACGTGGCCCTAGTCGAGATTTGACAGACCTTGAAACATTCCCTGGAATTTCGTCTCTGACTTCACTTTCAGGTTGAACAGTCAGAGATTCCAAACGAAATTCCTCCAGAGATGGATTAATGTTAATCTTCTCGCAATACTGACATCTGAAACCCTCAACTCTTTCATCAAACAAGCCTTTACCCTTTTTTTGCATGGACCGACCTCCCTCATTGTAATTGGCAGTGTCTCGTATGCTGGTCGGCTGCTTTGACGAGGCAACCCCAATGAGACGACTTTCCTCTGCCTCATTCGGCTGCTCAAACGAAACGACCCTGATGGACCGACCTCTTTCAGTATACTTAGTAGCGCTTCGGCTGTCGTTCGGTTGCTTCAAGGAAGCGACCTTGTCTCTGTATCTCGCAGCGTACCTGCGTTTGGAATTTCGAATCTGAGTGCGATTCATGCTTGGGAAGCGAAGATCCACATTAATTGGTAAAGATTTCTTACTTCAAGTCCATTTGTTCCCGACCGAACCCGATCTCCTAGTCGGGTGGTCCCGAACCAAAACTTGGTCCTTCAATTCCACATTAAAAGAATCATCTTGGTTATCCTATTTTTCAGCCACTGTTTTTTCACAGACCTTGAGTTTCTCCTCTGGTCGGCCACTGTTTGATGAATTCCCTTTTTCAGTTCTGGGACTTGCTTGTATATTAACCATTGTTGTGGTTACTTTTGGAAATGCTTGTTGCTCCACTCCCAAAGTAATATATTTGAGCCGACCTGCCTTAATAGCCTTTTGGATCTCATTTCGAAAATGAGTGCATTGACTTGTATTATGTGTGAAGGAGTTATGCCACTTACAGTATGGCCTCCCTTTGATTTCTTCCTTAGTAGCCAAACTCTGCCCCTTTGGAATTCGGATTTGACCATCAGTTAGCAGAATATCAAATATCTCATCGGCCTTTGAATTGTCAAAGGTCAGTTGCCCTTTAGCTTCAGTTCCTGGTGCTGGCTTTAACTTAGAGTATACATAAGGCTTCCCTAAAATTATTTCGGCCGCCATCTCTTCTGTTTGATCATAATCAAAGTCGTATGCCTCTGTTTCCATACAAGCCATATGTTGACCTTTATTACACCTGAAATTTTGATCCATTTCCCTGAAAAGAGATTCTAATCGTCCAGCCTTGGATGCAAGACTTGCTAAATCCTCGACATCATGTGCAGTGAGCGCATCTCTTAGGCGACCATGCATATTTCGAACCACTAAATTGGTCATCTCTTTTTCATTGATTATTGTAGGACATTGTCCTTTTATCAATCACACCCTTTCAATAAACTGTGAAGCTAATTCTTCTGGATATTGTTTCATCTCCAATAAATCAGTCAAAGAAACCGTTGGCAAGGGATTGAAAAATCTGGCATGAAATGCCATCTCTAAACCTTCCCAAGTTTGTATTTTCCCAGGTGGCAGACTTACAAACCATGAAAAAAGTTGTCCTAGTTAGAGACAATCCAAACAGTTGTAGTTTGTAAAAAGGATTGTTACCAATTTCCCCTAACTGTGCTGTGAAACGCCCCACATGCTCTATAGTAAAGGATCCATCCTCTCCAGAAAAAACATGAAAATCTGGTGGCCTGTAATTCCTTGGGAGAGGATATTCATTAATAATCCTTTCTGGAAAAGGTCTTTGATAAACAGGTCGGTTGGCCATCTGAGGATTTAGACCAAACTGAACCCTCAATACGTGAGCAATTTCATCACCCAAACGAAAATGTTGATGATCAGGGATATCAATGGGATTTTGCACATGAATAAGAATAGGATCCTGCACATGTCCCTCTAGCCTTTCCTCCCTTGTAATGTTTGGCTGCACATTCTCAACCCTTGGCCCCAAAGGAATATTATTTGGGAAAGTCAGATGAGTCTTTCCCCTATCTGTTCGGTTGAACGTTGTGACGCTTGGAAGTGTGTTGTCCACATATGATGGCCCTGCAAAATTTGCTTGCATTCTTGATGGTGACACCTCTGGCGGTGTCTGTGTGGGTTAAAGAGTAACCCTTGATAATGCTTGGTCCAACATATTCTGCATCAGATTTTGTTGCTCGCGCAACATATTTTGCATCGCCGAAGTTTGCTGATTGTTCAATTGTTGAACATAAGCTAACCAATCGGTAGGTGGTTGGGGAATCTTCCCTGGATTTGGCATGACAGGTGGTGAAACATTTTCTCCCACCGGTGCTGATGATGATTGAGGTTGTGAGCCTGCCATACTAATTTTTCTGATGATTCGGCCAGACCTCAATCGTATGAAATTCTCTGATAATGTAGGATTAGCAATATTGCGTTTCTCCCACTGTGGTCGCCAATTTGTTGATGTATTTTTTCAACAAACAAAAAGTAAAATCCGAAAATAGAAAATTATTTTCGAACTTGATATATTTAGCATCTGAGATTAGAAATCTCTAAATACTGTACGGTACATAAATAAAAACTAGAAAATAAAAGACTGGAATTTAAAGTGGTGATCCCCGAATCTTTTGACTTTGTCGTTGTTTGAAGATGATTGAAGATAATCTGCCAGTTGCAAATTTTAATCCTTAAATACTCTTCAGAAACGGTATTGGAAACCATCGCCCGAACGGTTACAACGCCTCTTTTTCAACCGTCTGTTAACCCTTCTCCTGCTGACACGTGCCCCCAGCCGACCGAATTATCTTTCTCACTCACTCTCAACAGTATCCAACTCTTCGGACCGACCGCAGACCTTCCGCCCTTTTGGCCCGAACGCAACTCTTCCGCCCTTTTTGGACCGACTGCGGTCCTTACGTCTTATTGGCCCGACTGCAAACCTTCCGCCTTTTTGGACCGACCGCTGACCTTACGCCTTGTTGGTCCGACTGCAAACCTCCCGACTTGCAGACCACCCGACTTGTTTGGTCCAGCCGCAAACCTCCCGACTTACAGACCATCCGACTTGTTGGTCCAGCCGCAAACCTCCCGACTTACAGACCATCCGACTTTTTGGTCCAGCCGCAAATCTCCCGACTTACAGACCATCCGACTAGCGGTCCTTCCGACCTATGGACCTTCCGACTTGCGGACCTTCCGATCTGCGGACCTTCCGACTTGTGGACCTTTCGATCTGCGGACCTTCCGACCTGCGGACCTTCCGACTTGCGGACCTTCCGATCTGCGGTTTCCGACCTGCGGAGCTTCTGTCCTGAGGACCTTCTGACCTGCGGACTTTCCGACTTGCGGACCTTCCGACCTGTGGACCTTCCGACCCGCGGTTTCCGACCTGCGGACCTTCCGACCCGCTATTTCTTTAGAAATATATTTACTTTACCTGAGTTCTCCGCAATGCCCCTCGACCAACTCGATCACCTCAATCGTTAGGCCCATTTTTCTTTTATCTTGGGCTTTTGAACCTAATTCTAAATTTCATACGTAACAATATGTAATCTACAACTTGTGTACATGATGTTGTGAATGAGAAAAACAATCATTGAGGACGATGCCGTTCTTGCTTAACTTTGTGAAGTTTTGTGTTCTTGCCCTTTTGGTTTTCGATTTTATGTTGAAGTTTTACAACAAAAGTCAAGTTGAAGCATGCATGCATCTTCTTAGGATGAATTGTGAGAGCAATTAGTAGATGTAACTGTGTCAAACTATAACCAGAACCAATGAAGAAAGAGGATTAAAGCTATGGGTTGGGTTCTGTATTTGGATTTGCTTAAATTTTGAATGGTAATCTATATATGTTCAAAATTGTGGCTGCGTAGCATATAATATCATATCATACATGTTAGATCTAACATCGGTGTCCATTCATTCATCTTTAGGTTGAATATACTATTTCAACTTTTATTTCATATTTTTGGTTGGTACAAAGGCATTATGTTAAGTAATTTCAGTTCTATGAAAATGAATGTTAGTAATACAAGTAATTTCTTGAATTTGTCCAACTGCAGCAACTGTCTGACTCTGGAGATGCTGCCATTCAAAATTTGCATACGTTCTTCAGAGCTATGCATAAAAAGGTTATTGCATTAAACAATTGATTATGACACTAGTTTTATTGTTATTTTTTGTTTTCTATAAGTTTGCTCGTGTAAAAATCATATGGATCTTGTTTTCAGATCTCCGAGGCTGACATTGAAGAAGAGATTGAAGCAAACTACAGAGGATCTGATGGATGTAGTGCTTGAATTGAGCTATATATGAAAAATGCAACTACAATATGAACAGGTATTATTCATCAATCAGCTTTAATGGCTCATTTTCAACATAACATAAGCATTATTATTATTTGCTCTTCTGATCCTTTGCTTGATTCCCATGGTTTCAAGGATATCATAATACGGAGTTACTGGTGCAGATATATTCGGACAAGGTGGCATGGCATGTCTGCACCTTTTAACTAACCAAATTTTGGAATTGTTATATGCATGCCATTGCCAAGGGTGAGTTTTTGGCCTTTTCACCTGATACAAGTGAAGTGAGACCGGGATGATGATGATGATGATGATAAATTCAATGTGTTTCTCTCTGTCCATGAAATCTCCTCTGTTGTTGAAGGTATGTAGTAATTAATAATTTATGCATATGTCCCTCTCCGCATCTACGACTTCTTTGGTTTCAAATATGTGGTTTTTTATTGTTAAACTACAATCTATTACTTGGTGATTTTTTCGAGTTATTGCTTCAATGCTTACTTTCGGTTGCTCCTGTTGGCGGTGTGGTGCCACTATATTATTGTCAGTAGGTGTTAGTTTGACTAAAAAATGTAGATGCCGTTGCTTTTACTTTGTGATTAAATTTAGATTTTATTTATTTATTTTTCTTTTTTTTTAACTTTTCATACGCTTGCTTTGGTAGTTTTGCTATACGTCATAAATAACAGTGATGACACAGCGATGACTTGAAATTTGAAGGATATAAGATATTAGCTTTTGTTGGAGTGCAAACTCAATCTCACATCGGAAGATGTGAAAAAAAAATTTACACCTTATAAATCTCACATGTAACTCCACTAGTATGAGACTTTTTGGAGAATATCCAAAAATAAATCCGTACGGACTAAGCTCAAAACAGACAATATCATACTAGTGTTGTAGTCTAATAGCTAAATTCATGAAAACATACTATCCTATTTCCCTTCATGAGCCTCTCAACCTTATTTCGATTGTCTCTACACTGCATCTCTATCATCTTGAAAATCATGCCATTCAACTGTCATGTCATAATCGGTATACTTCATCTATGTTTCTCCCTTCCAGCTTTTCTAAATGTTGTCACCAACTCACCATTGTTGATGAACGATTATCCCAACATTTACCAAGACAATAGATAACATCAATATTCATACACCTGTTTACATTTGAACTTAGACATGGGATTAAATTTTCATTACTCTCCCTTGGGATTAAACCGACCATTCATTATTTTTGAAAATATTCATAGATAAAAATAATTGGTAGAAATATACATCATTAATAAATATATCTATATAATTTTTTAATGAATTCTGCTATATTCCTAACAATATATACCAAAATTCATTACGCGAACAAAACACTAGGATATATATATATTCCTATCATATAAACACAGTGCTAACCTAAAACAACGCACAACTGAATCAACCAACTTGAATAATTATGCATCCTGTCGCACAATACAAAGAAAAATCAAAATATTTATACATTACCTACACAGAGGGGGCATCTAAATTATAATAATTGCTAAAGAAATAAAAATAAAACAAAATCTAAATTATAATTGCACAGACAATGGAAAATATATCAAATCCAGTACAATCCCCCGGCTATAGACCCAAAAATATCAAGTAGTCACATGATAACTGGAGTACTTAATAAGGATCATTTCCACACTGGATGGATATTAAAATAAAATCAAAACAATAGTAAGTAATTCCAAAACTATGAAAACCTTATAATAGCAGAAGAGCGGCCACAGTTACAACACTTGCATCCTTACATCGTCTAAGTCTCTCCCTTCACAGAACACAGACAGCACAAACAAGAAACGGGGCAAAAATACGGGAGATCAAAACAACAGGGGAAATGCCTACAAATCTCACCTATAACTTCTGTTTAAGTTTCAAACTTCGGGACAGGACAAGACAACAAGAACAAGAAAAAGAATTGCACCTCCAGCAAGACTACCAACCAGCTATAAAAGGGCAGGTTCCCCGAGTATTTACTCAAACGAATTACGATGCCAACTCTAAGGAGGGAGAAACAGAGGCACAGTAAGCATTCCAGCCCCAATTAACTTACCACCGTTGTTTTTTAGGATAGCAAAAAGATATCAGCCAATTTTATTGGCCCCTTCCATTTAATTTACACTTACTTGGGGATCTTCAGTCTTCAGGTTGTCTCTGTTCTTTTTTTTTTTAATCTTGTAAATCCTGTAGTGAAGATTCGGGATTTGAACTTGTCCATACCTTGAAGAAGGGTTTTAGCTTAGTAGTTATTCGGCCAATTAAGTTGTGTGTACTGTGGCTGCTGGTATACCCCAGCTGTAGGGCCCGTCATATCCCCAGCATTGGTTATGGGCTGAGATTGTTGCAAAAAAGGGTGCACGTTGGCCGTTGTGACAGCTTGTGCCGGGTGGAAAATCCCAGTAAAGGTTCCGTGCCCTGGTTGTGTAGGTGTGAAAGCTAGTTGGCCTGGAGGAAGGTTGTAGAAAGAATTGGTCTGCAAGGTGGAAATGTCTCGACCAGGAGTGGTGAACCATACACCGGAACCATCATTCTGCATTACATAGTAATGAGGTAGTACCAACATCAGTAACATCAACAATATGTAGAGGAAAAGTTAGACAAGTCAAAACTCGAATGCATATACAGATAGAGGTGTTAAAAGATTGGTCATCCAGGTGAACCTAACCACAACTATGGATATTATTTCTGTTCAGTATTCAGCATAATATATTTTGAAAATTCGACTTCGAAATACAAGTTTGGTAGTACAAATTAGTGTACATAGTAACAACAAAACAAAACATAAAAACCTTTTCATTATATTTTATTTTAATTGTACTTTTTGTTCAAAACACTAAGGGTGTGTTTGTTTGTGGGTTTGTGGTTTTGGGTTTGGATTTATGAATAGTAAAAAGTTAAATTTGAATAGTTGTTTGATGTGATATAAATAGATATTGATATGAGTTTTGAAAATAAAATAAATTTGTAATATAATATAAAAAAAAAAAGAAAAATAATTGTTTGATTTGATATTTTTTTTAGAAAAAAAAAATTTGAATAGTAAAAATCAGTGTTAAAATCTACGAAAGAACACAACTTAAATAAAACAAAAATGAAATTCAAAAAGGGAAAAAAAAATTGTATCTACTATTTTATACAAGTGCATATAGAAGCTAGAAGTCTTAATTTAAGAATATATAGAAATTAGAAGTCTTAATTTGAGAATATATATGTGCACACACACATTTAAATTAGCACTACACCAATTTCGAAACCGAATAAACTACTTTTTCTTTTTCAAAGACAAACTTCTGAAAATACTGAACTCTAAGCATATTCGCAAGCAGAAACTCTTAGCATATACTCAATTGGATTTGCCTACTAACAAATGTGCACCTCTAATATCAAACAGGAGCAGAGTTTCTACAAGAATGTAAACCGTACGACACCACCACATAAAACAGATGCTAAGATATAACAGCTCAGAATGACCTATTAAGTAGGTCATATATTAATTACAGCACAATTCAAATTACCAAAACATCAAATAATAATAATAATAAAACTATTTATCACTATCAAGAATAATTTAATTAAATGAGAAGAAATCTTGCAAATAATTTCCATTGTCACACAAAAAAGCATATGATCAAATATTAAAGATAACACGCACCTGTTGGCTGCTCATATAGCCGTTGTTCTCCTTGTTCTGAGAAGCAGAATTATCGTCATTAGATGTTGATGTAACAGCTGATGCGGCTGAACCAGAAGAGTAGTTGGCCATGGAAAGACCATATGGCCCGTAGATACCGGGCAATCCAATGTGAGTTGAACTTCCTGTATTTGATCCCTGCTTATACTGAGAAACTGGGTATTTTCCGGCTGTTCCAGGTGCAGTCGGATACAAACTGCCAGCTTGAGGCTGCTGGGGGAATGCACCATTGCTTAGGAAGGGGTGAATTGTAGGTGGCGGGACATAAAATGGGGGGAAATAAGGACCATATGGAATGTAATTTGGAGGATAATGAGGTAAGTGAACCCCTGTTGGTTGCCGGAAGACAGGAAGAGGTTGTTGGGCCATTGATATTGTGCTTTGCATCACCCCAGCAGCTTGGGTCACCAATGGCGTTGCAGAAGCTGTGGACAAAACCAACGGAACTCCACCCTGCAACTGAATTAAGTAGATTTGACTTCAGGATGAATATAAGCATGTACCCATGATCATCTGATGGCATGCAGATAGAAGATAAAACAGCATATCACTAAACATGAACTGCTGAAATGGTCTCCTTAGCAAGTTATTAAATCAAATGACAAATTTGACATCAACCTTCGAACCAACCAAAGTAAGCAAACTCCGTTACCGAAATCCTGAGCACATGTCAAGTTTCATAATTTGTACCCATTAAAATGAGTTTTATTTGCCATTTATAATTGGAAATAATTGTTCTCCCAGATCTTTATCCTACATGACAAGTTGGATAATAATGGAAGCAGCAGCATTACATAGTTACATTTTTGCAACCTTGACAGGTCTATGTACAGTTAACTGCAAATACATGATATAATATTCGATTTGATTTCCCAAAAGTTTAAGGAACTTGAGCAATCAGAATAAACTTATTATGAAAGAATACCTGATACCCAATGCATTACAAACTATAACATTGTTTGAGAATATTACTTGTGATTTTAAGTGCAATTTTCAAACATCACATCTAACATCAATTTTTCATTTAAAACATCACATTTAACTATTTCACCTCAAAGACATGAAAACCAAACAAACATAAAAATATGAAATAATAATAATAATAATAATAATAATAATAATCAAAAGTGAACACACCCAAAGTGTGGGAACATTAGGGCTGTGTTTTTCAGAGTTTAGAAATTTTTGTTGTTAGTTATTCAAAACTATGAAAGTGGTGTAAAAATATGTTACTATCAAGGTTGCACGGCGTCCTTTTGCGGCGCAGATCCTTTGGACCGCCATACCACCATGGCGATATGGCGCCCGCCATACCACCATGGCGATGGCGACAAAATGGCGAACACGGTGCACTATATATAATTTTTATATATTCTGTGTTATAAGTATTAATTTCTAAGGGTGTGTTTCTTTTGATTTGGTTTAGAAAATTTTAATTTAAATTTGGTATTAAAATAATGTTTGATAGAATATGTCGTGAGAAGAAAAAAATGTAACTTTTTTTTGGGGAAACACAAGGTCTAAATAGTAAAATTATAGGGGTTTGGCACCCTAAATGATAAATTAAAAAATAAATAATTATACAATAAAGAATACATAATAATGCAACACACGATCACTATTTTTTGAAAAAACACAGTCTAAATAGTAAAATTATAGGGGTTTGGCACCCTAAATGATAAATTAAAAAATAAATAATACATATTAATGCAATACACTGTCACTATGATAGTATAAATAAAAAAATAGTACTAGAGTTAGTAGAGTCTGAGTCTAGATGAAACGGCGAATGAAATGGTGAGATGAAACGGCGAAATGAAGTTGCAAATAGGGAGAGAAAGGATGGCGAGTTAGGGTTCGATCGTGCTTAAGGGTTTAGGGTCTGAGGTAGGTGTGGTTTTGGGGGCCTAGGCTGACCTAGGTGGGAGACTCACAATGTTTTGGGCTAACCGGGATAGCGCCATGGCGTCATTGAGGTGTCGCCAAGGCATCTCCAACCCACCTTGTTTGTAACGGTGTGTTTTGATAAAGTGTAAATTGAAAACAAACACACCCTAGTTATTCCAAAGGTCCCAAATAATGAGAGAAGAGGACACATAAGCAAGCTCAAATAGATTCTGCAAATAATCAATCCTTAAAAGATGTTCAGTATTGAATATTTAACATAGTAGCAATGCGCTATTAACGTTTGCACATATTTGATCCTATAGTTGATAGCTGCCCAACAGTTCTTAAAACTTTTGGTTTCAACTTCCAAGTCCACAGGCATATTGTATCTTAAAAAATCTTAAGATTGATAGAACTTCCTCTAAAGCTTCCTCTCTATGATCTTTTGTGAGCAATATGTTGATGTTGGAATTAGGTAAAATGCCACACTATACACCAGAAACAACAATGGATGGGTTTCCCGGTACAAAAGAATTTTCACTACTGGCAAGGGAAGAATTGGAAAGGTATCACAAGTAAAACACTTAACAAAATCAACACAAAGTGCAGGTGAGGATGTAATAATATAATAGTGATATATCTTTCTACCAACTTAAACATATAGGTTGGGTGGACATTCAGCTCTTCTAAAAGTATTATTTTTAAGTAACACTAAAAATGGTAAAGCCGTCTGAAACCAAAACCACAAAGTATGAGACACTGTTAAACATAGAGTAATGTTCACCTTGCCAATTTGGTCATCAACAAAGATTTTAAACCATCCTTATTCATAGAGAAAATATAAGAAGGAAAGAGAAAACAGCTGAGATTACAAAAGCTCAAACCTCTTGTGGTGTCTGAGAAGTCTGTGGAGAGACCAGCCCTGCATTTCCATTAAATTTATTTGCAGCAGCAGCAGGATGGAAAGGGGAGGTTCGGCCATCAGTATCCATGCCAGAGCGATAAAATTGAGCATAATAACTAGTTGGATCAAAAGATTGTGGCACCTGAATGGCATATTATAACATTATTAGCCAACATTAGCGGATGCAAACACACCAACATTTTGAACCATAAGTAGCAAGATCAGCACAAGGTCAATGTAAAACAAGGCACTAATCAAGTGGGAACGAGAAATATATAAAAGGAGGGGAGAAACATTCGATTAGTTTTGCAGAATGCAAACACACACCAACATTTCAAACCATAAGTAGCAAGGTCAGCACAAAGTCAAAATAAAACAGGTCACTAATCAAGTGGGAATGAGAAATACAGAAAAGGTGGGGAGAGATATTCGATTAGTTTTGAATATTGGTCTAGAAAAATTATTTAAATATAATGAGAAAGGACTAATTTGGTATCACAGTTAAACTTCTAAATTACTCCTATGATGTTTTGTACTAAATCTTGTTTCATAATTTTATTTTTCTCATATTCTCACTTTTATCTTTCATTCTTTTTTATCTTTTAAATTATTTGATTTTTATTTTTATTTTCATTGTCAAAATAAATATGATTATATGATTTGCTGCATGATTAAAAATTGACAATTAAAAAAAAATTAATTTCATACTCACACTGGCACTTCTGCTATTATGAAAGTATTAATAGAAATGGAGAATAGGGAACATACAACAAAGCTTGGGAGCCGAGGAGCATCACGGGCTTGAGATTCTGAGCTTTCCAAAGGTGTAAGATTGGCACTCAATATTGTTGGCATGACACCGATATTATAGTTTGAAGAAGTTTGAGCAGCCACCTGATGTTGAAGGCCTCCGGGAGTAACCTCAGGCTGTGTTTCATTGTAATTGGGGATAACAGAGGATGAGACTTCAACTTCATTAGGTGAAAATTTTTCTGGTCCTGGTGAAGGTGACTGGGGATGGTCAGGATATTTCATTTCAGTATCTTCTGCAGGTGCTGATGCATTTTGGTAACTGAAGTCAAAGAGAAATTAGAATGTTTAAAAATAGAAATAAATGAGTGGAACCTATAAACAAATTATATTAAGCATCATTTGACCAGCCATTGATAAACAAAATATCAAAGAAGGAACTGGAGGAGAAAAGACAGACCTTGGGTGTGACTCTTTCATTGGTTCCACATCCGCTTCAGAGGATTCAGTCAATGGTGCTGTCTTCTCACTTCCTGGATTATCGTTTTTGTTAATGTCCAACCCAAAGCTAGCATCAAAACTTCCAAAACAAAATCCAAGTTTTCCAGCCTCAGGGACATGTAGGTGATTAGGAATAATAACATGTTCCCCATCTGATATCTGAGAATCCTCTAGTTTCCTCTGAAGTTCAAAAACATCTTCTTGTGGAGTGGAGATATCATGATTTGTCTGAGATTCAGGACTTCGTACAGTTACTGCAGAAACCTCTACTGAGGCAGCTGCATTGGCACCCTGACCAATATTGGTACTTGAAGTCTTTGGTTTCCACTCTTTTCCAGGACCAACTATTGGAAATTATACAAATATAGAAAAATAAATAAATTAATGGATATGCTCTATATTTTGATATCAATCAAAACAAAAATGTAGAAAACTATCACATTCAAACCAAAAAAAAAAAAGAACACAAAAAAAATGACAGCTTCATTGAAGCTGCTCATAATTAAAGGGACATTAAACCTGGACAAAAGGAACACTACTTTCCATATTTTTTTATCAAGATACATGCCTTTTTGCACGCCAACTCCTTGAGAGCGGTTGCTGTAGTTTGATGAAGGTCTGCTGACAGTTGGAGATGAAGTCTGTGTAGACTCTACATTCTGATTCTTTCCAACCACAGGGAAATCATTCGGCATCTTTTGCTTCAAATTATGTATCCCACCGTCTGAAGGAGCTATTACATATATTAGGAAGCGCAAATTCTGTTACTTTGTTTTCTGTAGTACTGAAGAATAAATTGATATTTTTAAAATGTGAAACATACACAAGTATTAGGGCAACTAACATACAGGTTTTGACAGAAGGTTGTTTGATCCGAGAAGGATTGTCATCAACAAATTCAGCAGTAGCGTGCTGGCTTCCCACCTCACGTCGAATAGTGCCCACAGCAGTAGGAAGTGGAAAATCTGGAGACGGCACTAAGATAGGATCTGAAGAAGAGAGATAAGATCCTGAAGCATGTTCTGAAGAAGAGATTGACGCATTGTTCGACTCTATCATCTGGTGCTGGTGTAAATCCTTGGAAGTTTTTATGGAAGCAATAGGGGAGGATGGCGGAAGTGGTCCGTCCAACACACTCATGCTAGAAGTTGTATTGGATTGGTCAACACCTCCACCTGCAGATGCATGGGTTTTATGAATAACATTGGCACTCTCTGAAGTAATACCAGATGGACCATTAGACACAGCAGTAATTGAGCTGCAAACACAAAAGACAAGAACTTTCAGAAAACATTGAGGAGTGGGGGACCTGAGGAGCAATTTATGCTGGAGGGCGCATCACATAAGTACTATTTTAGATAAAAGCATAGATTTGTGCAAGCATCTCATCAAGAAGGTTATAATCACATATCACACCTTGCAGCAGAAGAAATTTCTTTCTTTCGGATGTCTTTAGAAAGAGCCACATGGGTCTTGGTGCCTTTATCTGGACCAGTAGCATTTTCCTTTACAGAAGCGGAGCTTCTTCCACCACCAACATCTGACAAGAAATTACATGAAAATAAAAGAAAATTGAAGGAATGAGTAGTGAAGTGAAAGCTGAGGCACACACATTAGGTAACTCTGAATAAAACCAAATTGGAATTCTGGTACAATTTGTGTACATTCACTTTGGTTTGACAAAGAAATTTACTAAAGCATCTGAAGTTCTCAAAAATTTACATTAAAATATAATATTTCACATATAGCATTATTCTTAATTATATTTTCAATCTAAAATATTGTGAACTCGTAACAATTTTTTTTTACTATATACATATAAGTAACATATTACTTTATGATTTGAATCTTTCAAATGCAAATGTAGAAGTAATGAATTGGGTTACTATATATTTCTTATTTAACCCTAAGCAAATTTTATACTTAAAGTTACATGCGCTTTGTTCATTTTTTTTACTATTCAACCCTCACGATTCCAGACACAAAAATAAATAAATGAATCACCAACTTAACACACCAATGATATCCAGATTGACAATTAACCAGAAGCTAGATTTCTAATTATAATATATTGAGTCTCCAATTATAATTTCAATTTGGGATTTGGTAACTACTCAAATTTAGGCTTGGTTCAGTCAGTTTACCAAACTTTGAATCCTCCTACGTGAAGTAACTGTACTTAGTCCACAAATTTCAGTCACTTGATGGGTTTTCATTTTCTTCTGGTATGGGCCGTCAATGAAGTAGGTTTAACCATGAGAGCAAGTAACAGCATAAATACAGACAACTCAAGCTTCAGCTCAAAGGCACATGTGGAAGTGAGTCTACATATCTACTAGCATCTAAATAAGGCTCACCATGAGATATGTATCGTGATGGATAGTTCCCACGACCCGGTCTACTTGCCCTAGCCTGAGTACCAGACTTCCACTTTAAGTCTCCAGGCTCCTTAGTCTGAGGCTGAAGACACAGAAAAAGTAATTCAATGTGAGCAAGTGGAGAAAGGGAGTTGGTTGACGAAGTTACAGAAATGTACTCCTTCCAATAAGAATACCCCATGCTGCACTATCAGGTTGAGAAGATTAAAAATTATGGAAGTTAACTGAGGGACATTACTATAAGGGTCAATATCACAGGAACATGATCACAATTTGTTTTTGGGTATGAAGCCTGGTATTGTCACTCTCAACCATTTATGGGAAGAAACAGTACCAACATTGTCTAGATATGTATACATGACAGCTATGATAGTGAAATTTCTATTGCAACATCATTTCTCAGGAGATTTATCAATGAGACAAGAAAAGCAAGTAACACAAGTTGGATGTATAAACACTAGCTGTTTTACATGTGCATAGAACATGTTCAATGTGACATAGCAGTACCTCTTTTCTCCTATCACGTTTTCTTCTCACTTCATGGAACGTATCTGAGGAAGAATACAAACACTTGTCAGAATTATCATTAGAGAAATCAAAGAAGCTCACATATGAGTTTCAAACATGCAAAAAAAAATGTTCTTCTCCGGTTACTTTCAAAATATATGGGACATATATTCAATACAAGAAATGAATTTTTCACATTCTAGCTAGTGAAAAATTCCTACAGACATTCTAGGTACAGGCCCCCCTCCAGATCCAGCATCTTGCAGCTAGATCCAGGCAAGTTTTTCCATTTCAAATTCAATAAGCAAAGTTCACATATGAAAACAAATACATTCAAATGAGCAGCTGCCAGAAGAGTTCATCAGTCATTGCATTGTTTGAGTATCATTTTTCAAGTCCCAATTACATTTTCTATTTCACCACATAACTCATCCCAAACAAACATTTTCTATTTCATAAATATTATTTAAAAAATTTATATCCAATAACTATGCCATCATTACCCTTAATTCAATTCCAATTTCAGATTTATTCATACCTAAGCAAACATTCCGACACCATGCCACTCCAATAACTACATCATATTTCAAAGTTAGACAATTAAATTGAATATCATGCATTACTACCCAAAATCACACCGAAGCATACACTAATCTTATCTCCAAAAATGCAATCTATTGAAAAAAAATAACACCACCCTTAGTTTCATACTGCCACCAATGAATCTAAAGCTACAATTCTGTTGTAAATAAACTAATAGCAGGGCACTCTATGGAAACATCACAACTAATGTAGACCAGAATGCTCATCAGATAAAATAAAGAAACAACAAAGATCGTTCTGTGACAGAAACAAAGGTCGCCCTTTACGACAACATAAAAAAAAAAAATTAAAAAAAAAAAAATCTCATTGAGTAACAAAAACAGATAAACACAAACACAGACAACTCCCAACTCACTACAAATGCAACAGTAGATAAACCCCAATTTTTCAATTATCCACTCACAATTACTTCCCCGTAAAACTCAACTCACACCAAAACTGATTCATCCAATAACATACACCGAAGCAAACAAAAGCATACAAACAAAGACAGTACGAACGGATCAGCAATGAAAATGGCCCATTTACAGTGACGGCACAGATCAAAAGCAAAATCGGAAGCAAGCATCGAAGAAAAACAATTAAAAAGGGAGAGGGAGCGAGGGAAAAGGAGATTCCACCGAGAAGTAGAAGCCTCTGCGCGGTCTCGTTGGGATCCATGGAGCACTCCCTGAGCATTGCATAAATCTCATCCTCGGAGTGATTCTGGCCAGTAATCTCCTTAATATTCTCAACCGTCTTCTTGACGCCGGCGGGAATCGGAACCCTACTTGCACCTCCCTTAGCCCCGCTGCTGCTCATCTTCCCCTTCTTCTGCAATACCTCGACGCCGCTATTGTGTCTGCGTCCCCGTCTGTCTCTCTCTATGCCTCTCTCTCTCTCTCTCTCTATATTTATATATAGAGATTATATAGAAAATTATATAATTGCATAGATATATATACCGTATGAGTATTTTCAAATTGCAATAACCTCCGGAAGGTTTATGCGAAGAATATAAATGCATTCGTATGGATCGTCGATAATGTTTTTCAATTTTTATCTTTTCTAATTTGAAAATTTACATGTTTTATCTAGATCATAATATCTCTATTATATATAAAAAAAAAAAAAAAAACATTATTTATTTTTTACATGATCTTAATATAATACTTAGTAGACTATAAATAATAAATAATTAAAAATTAAAAATATATTAGTAAAAATAATTATTATATAATAAAATAAATTTTTATTAAAATTAAAAGAACTCATGAATCTAATTAAAATATAAAAAATATAAATTAAAAAATTTAATATATAATTAAAATATATAATTTTTTTAAAAAATCATTATAGAATAAAATAAATTTTTATTAAAATTAAAAGACCTCGTGAATCTAATTAAAATACAAAAAATAATAAATTAAAAAATTTAATATAAAATTAAAATATATAATCTTTCTAAAAAATCATTGTATAATAAAATAATTTTTTATTAAAATTAAAAGAACTCATGAATCTAATTAAAATACAAAAAATGATAAATCAAAAAATTTAATATAAAATTAAAATATATAATTTTTCTGAAAAACCGAATATGACTAACATACTGAAATTGAAAAGTGTAGTATATACCATCATAGATGATGTATTTTTTCTTTTTTTTTTTTTTTTTTGATGTAAAAAGATGATCTCTTTTTATTTTATTTTTTTAATTTATTAATTTTAAATACATTTAACAAATATAAATCAATTTAATTAAATTTTTAACTCTTTATGTATATGATTTACTCAAAAACTCTTCTATTTTTATTTTTCTCATCAATCAATAAATATTTTTATTTATCTTTAAAACTTATCTTTAAATATTATCGCACTATTCACTCCTCAACAAACTGTAAGTCATTCAACCGCATCAAGCTCTGCTTTGATGATGACTACCAACGTTTCAAATATTGAGGACTCAAAGATTGTGGATCAAAGTCTGCGAGGAAGATCAAAGCTTCAAAGGCACTCTCATGCCACCTACTCGGCCAATTTCAAGTCATTCAACCGCATCAAGCTCTGCTCCAATAATAACTATCAACGCTTCGAATATACAAGACCAGCTTGCCGCATTAGTCAAAATCGTCGAAGGGATGTCTCAACATATGCAACAACAAGACGCCCTACTCGAAAAACTTCTCACAAAGCTGAACAAGCCTGAAGAAGCCGGTCATGCAACCGAAAAACAACCATCTTCCCCAGCGGCCCAAAATAAAGCGGGAACAACTGTGGAGCAACGTCATGGCAAAGAAAATGTGGCGGAGTCAAATCCATTTCAAGGATCATCCAACTCCTTCATCCATATATCACAATTTGACAAATACATCAAGGGGGCAATCAAAAGAGAATTCGAATGGAGTTCAAGGCCGACGCACACTTACGCCAAGTCTTACACTATTGACGCCCTCAAAATGCCAACAGGCTATCAACCACCAAAGTTTCAACAATTTGACGGCAAAGGCAACCCAAAGCAACATATAGCGCACTTTGTCGAGACATGCAACGATGTTGGAACATATGGAGACCTCTTAGTCAAACAATTTGTGCGGTCACTAAAGGGAAATGTCTTCGATTGGTACATCGACTTAGAGGCCGGTTCCATCGACAATTGGGAACAACTAAAGTACGAGTTCTTGAATCGGTTCTACAGCACAAAGAGAACCGTCAGCATGACCGAACTCACCAACAGCCGCCAATGGAAAGATGAACTAGTAATTGACTACATCAACCGCTAGAGAAGTCTAAGCCTTAACTGCAAAGACCGTCTATTTGAGGCTTTTGGCATATAAATGTGCATTCAAGGAATGCAATGGGGCTTGAAATACATCCTACAAGGGATCCAACCCCATACTTTTGAAGAACTCGCCACTCGCGCTCATGACATGGAATTGAACATAATGTTTAGTGGAATGTATGGACCACCTACTGAAGATTTCTCAGAAGACGAGAAATACAACACTTCAAACAGTGGTGGCAGTCATACCTTCACCCTCCTAGAAACGAGGATAAACTTTCTTCACCCTTCTAAAAACGATGATAAACTTTTTTCACACTCCTGGAAATGAGGATAAACTTTCTTCAATCTCCTGGAAACAAGGATAAACTTTCTAAAATCTCCTAGAAAAGAGAATAAACTTTCTACAACCTCTTGGAAACGAGGATAAACTTTCTACAATCTCCTAAAAACGAGGATAAACTTTCTTCAATCTCCTGGGATTGAGGATAAACTTTCTAATAAGACTCCTTAACACGAGAATAAACTGTTTAACAAAAATAAACAAATTCAATTTGTTTTGAACTACGTTATGACTTGATTCCTTCACCGGATACGTAGGCAACTTGGAATATAACTCCAAGTACAGTCAATCATGCCAAAAAAAAAAAAAGAGTCCAAAAAAATCTCATCCAAAAAAAAAAAGAAAAAGCCCTTTGAAAAAAATATTGGCAAAAAAAAAAATTCAAAAAAATGATAGCCATAAAAAAAAATCAGTCAAAAAATAAATTGACTTATGTTTCGAGACTCATTAACGTCTTAAACGCTTTGCGTCGGCTTAAAAGAGTCTCGATTAGGCATTTTGTAGACACTAAAAATATATGTCTAAAATCAATTAAATATCATATATTTTGGAAGAAAATAAAATTCCAATAATATAAATATATGGTATTTAATTTTGCACATATGTTAATTTTTGTACAATAAATATCAACCATTAATGCAAAAATCTACTTAAAATGGAAGATATCGTACAAACATTACGTGCATAAATAGAGCCATAATAAATTTGGCAGCAAAATAAATTAATCTTGTCAATAAAGGAAGTATATAAATTAATATCTTCCGAAAAGGGCAATGATATAAAGATCTTGGCGAGAAAGGAAGGTGCACAATCAAATCCGTCAAGAATGGAAAAGAGCATCTGATGGAAAAGGAAATATTATAAAATCTTCCTATTGGTCAATCAAAATGTGCCACGTGGCACCATTAAAAAAGGAAGCCGAAGCCACTCATCCTCTATAAATAGGAACCATGGCCAGTTCATTTGACACACCGAAGTTACATCGAGGATTCAAGCAAATGGGTAAGTCTCTAGACTCTCTCTGTATTGTTCTTCATGTTCTTCGTGTCCTTCGAAGCGTTCTTCATCGAAAGTCACTGATTTGGACAAATGATCCAATATTGGTTGACGAATCGATGGAGTTAACATTCTTCGTTGTATGTCCAAGCCGAAGGATGGATCAAAGCTCTCAAAGCCGTTGAGGAATTCGTCAAAGCCAAGGGAAGGTCTCCAAAGTTCCTCTTAAAGCTTCAAGACGTTCATCGCGTTCTTCACCAAAGCATCAACTAGGCCCTCTTCGATCCAAAAGTCAAAGGGACACGCTACCAAAAAGGTTATGGAGCACCAAATCCACATCCTCAAATATCAAAGTTGCGGATCGTCCAAAGAATATATCAAATCCAAAGCCAGTGATCAAACCGTCCACACGGAAACCAAAGCCCTCCGAACGGCGGCAAAGCTAAACCAAAAATCAAAGCCGCAGATCGTCCAAAGAAGACATCAAATCCAAAGTCGATGATCAAATCGTCCACATGGAGACCGAAGCTCTTCAAAAAGCGGCAAAGCCAAATCAAAGATCAAAGCCTCGGATCGTTTAAAGAAGACATCAAATCCAAAGCCGATGATCAAATCGTCCACCCGGAGACCGAAGCTCTCCAAAAGGCGGCAAAGCCAAATCAAAGATCAAAGCCTTGGATCGTCTAAAGAAGACATAAATACAAAGCCGATGATCAAATCGCCTACACGGAGACCAAAGCTCTCTAAAAGGCGGCAAAGACAATTCAAAGATCAAAGCCACGAATCGTCCAAAGAGGACATCAAATCCAAAGCCGACGATCGAATCGCCCGCACGGAGACCAAAGCTCTCTAAAGTCCGGCAAAATCAAACCGAACACCAAATTTCTTCGGATCAAAGAAGCCATAGAAAACCAAGTTGGAAAACAAATCGACCCAAAAGGATAATCAGAAGGACTCATTTAGAGAATAAGACCCGTTTTAAATTCAAATCAAATATAAATTATATAAATTTTGCGTTTATTAAAAATAACACAATATTTTGTCCATATATATTATATAATTTATTTTTTAAATATTTAGTTAAACTTTTCAAGTAGGAGGTTTGTAAAATTTTATTATTACTTTTTTAAAATTATGAAATTTATATTAAACTATTATTTCTGTTATTTTTAAATGTTTCATAATAAAAATTTATTGAAAAATATGAGCATTCTTTTTTGTTAGTAATATAAATGTTAAAAAAAAAACAAAAAATTCATGTATATGTATTTTTATTATATAGTTTTTATTTAGAGTGTATGTTCTGGGGAGATTTTTTAGGATTTTTATTGTTCATTTAATTTTTTTTTCTAAAAAATATTAAATTAAATACTTATTTTTTATTTTTTATATTATACTAAAAATTAATTTTACATTAAAAATATCACATAAACACCTATTTATATCACATCATACTATTATTACTATTCAAATCTCAACTCAAAATCCAAACCCTAAAACAAACACACCCTTAATATATATTTTCATTAGAATTATAATTTAAATAACTATATTCATTTTTTTTAAAAAAAAAATATGTGATAAAAAATATATAAATAAATTAATAATAATAATTTTTATTTTGCCTTTATTTTAATAAATTTAGAATTTCTACAAATAACATAATTGACATAAAAAAAAAATCAATTATCTTAAATTTATAAATCATCAGAAGAAAATATATTTAAATAATCAATAAATCATGTAAACATATATTTATTAATGTGTGAGAGAATTAATAA